ATTTTATATGGAATATGATATCAAAAAATTTCGAAATTTTACATCCGAAAAAATCATATCTCACGTAAATTTTCGCATGCAAAATTACATGGGTTATGATTTTTTTGGACGTAAATTTTCGATTATAAAATTTCTCCCACCTTCTTTGCAAGTTCTATTGTGACCCCCTAACTTTAAACTTCTGCGTCCGACCCTGCTAGCAACAAGCATTTTAATTTAACAAGTTATAATATTGAAAAATCTCATTGAGTTTCATTGCTTGACTAGCAAATTAATCTTGGTAACTGATAATAGCAAACTATGGTCAAGGATTTTGTAAATGATGTCCAAAATAACCATGTAATGGAATTTTATAAATCATTTCAAGAACAGGCGTACCTCATTTTACCATAATCAGAACTCAAAATTAAAGCTCAAGCTTTATAAAACATTGTCTCAACATGTTCATTTTGTCTCTATATTTAGTGAAGCTCAATCCTAAACATATTTCTTAATAAGTGGTCATAATTAATATTGTTCACCCCCGAAGTAATTGTACACATTATCACGAGAAAATTAACAACCTTGTATTTGATTTGGTCGTAAAATCATCTTTCAACCAAAAAGATTGTTACAACAATTATTTTACTATAAGAACTTCTACAAGCCTTTATTAACTGAGGTATACAAAATGATGAATGTCTAATAGAACGAAAAACACTGTAATTTTCTGCAGGACTTATAGAATATGGAAATGTATACATCCTCATTTATGACCTACCTTAAAATATTTACTAATAAATTCCAACAATTTGACTTGGTTCTATAAATGGAGAATAAAAAATCAAAGTATTATAGATGAAGAATGAAACATTAAGGCTTCAAAGCATCCACCGAGGTACAAAAAAAAAAAGCATCCACCGAGGTCAACACGTTCGAAGATAGGTTTATAATAATAACAAAATAATTTTAAATTAAACTCTGTTTTATTAATCCAGCAAAAGTATTACAATGCTCTTATTTCTTCTATTTTTCATTTCTATGAAAGAGAACTAGTTCTTGCTAGATGTTGCTCTTTCCTTAGATTCACGTTGCTGTATCGCCATATTGATTTCATCGCGTACCATAGCTGCATAGGTGTAGAGATCTTGCAGAACATCCAATGGAAGATTCTCACGAAATGTCCCAGTGATGAGACTTTCCATGTAAATGCTCTTCATCTCTCGTTTCCTACTTTCGCTCATCGTCCTACCGACTGGAATTGCCATTATAACACTTCCCGTGATACTTGAAAGATGGAAATATTTGACACTATTTCAGCTGTTATTTATCCAGTTTTATAGGGGTGAAGGATGGTACAAGGAACCCACATTATGGTAACCTTTGATAAATTCTTGCAATGTAATTGTTGACAACGTACAGTCAACATCCGATTTACTGCGGATGAATTCTTCTAATCTGGACGTGATTCTGAAGGGGTCAAACTTTAAAACGACAATTATGAGAATGGGACCGAAAATTCGCATTCCTCCCACTAGACCTCAAATAAGATTTCCAACATCCTACTTTTAGAACTGCAAAATGTAGAACATATTGGCAAAATTTACATAATCTATTAAATTTTGGTAGGCGATTTTGCCAAAAATAGATACATCCTGGCTGACATGTGGTTTGACTTAAATTTTAATGAATAAGAAGGTTAATTTGTTAAATTAGTAAAGATCAAATTGGTTCTCATGTAAAACCTGGTCCATCTAGAACTTTTGGGAATAAACCAAGCCAATTTCCACTTCGTCCCTGCTAGCTTGGCTCCTTTATACTAAATGTTTGTTCTTGGATCATGTTAGTGGTGAGCAGTGGCGGATCCAGGATCTCGAGTGAGCACAGATGACCGTTGATTGTAAATGGCCACAATAAAAATCAAATATATCTATTACTATAATTCTCGTATATTTGATTTTAACATCCACCAAATGCTACAATGGTCAAGCTTTCCATAATTCCAAAGGGGGGAACGGGTTCAAATCTTTCCTATTGCACCAGTTTTATTAACCAAATATCTGTTACTTTGTTAAAATTGAACACATATATTTCTAACATCCACCAAATGCCATAATAGTCAAGCTTTCCATAATTTTCAAAGGGGAGCATAGGTTCGAATCTTCCCCATTGCATTTGTTTTAATAACAATGCTTCAAAATGAAGGGAAATATTAAAATAAAAATAACTAAATAAAGGATTGTTCTTGTAGAAAGTTGAACTCAAGACCTCCCACTTACTAAACGGACTGAGCTACAAGAGTTGCTTGAAAACAAACAAAATTACCAAATATATATCCAAACAAATATATAGATTGACACCAAAAAAAATTTTTGGTGCTCGCCGGGTGCGGATCCGCCGGTGGTGTGAGCCTATAATTGTCTTTTAGAACCTCATTTGATCAATGTTTTAAAAAGCGGAGGATGTAGAAAGTCCATGCCAGCTCCAGCCCATTCAGTTTTTTGAATTATAATTTTTTTATTTATTTTTTGTTACATATTAGCCAGATCCGCACCTGGTTTTAAACCTCAACTCTGCTCAAGCTTTTCCTCTATATCCTACTTAAATAAATTATGAACAGTAAACAAATGACAGAAACAAGGCCATCAAATGCAGTGCATCTTGAACTAGCCTTGAAAACTTATTAGTTTATTTGTATAGTATACAAATAAGTTTTAACTTATAATAATTTTTTTGTTGGTCAAAATGGGAAATAAGTTACTTATTTTGAATATAACTTCTACCTTACAGGAAAAATAAGTCATTTTATGTTGCAAAGCTCCAAAATAACTTAATTTTCTGTGTTGACTGCTGATAAAGAAGCTAAACTGACAGCAGACAATCTTAGGGTGATGGTATGTGTAAGATGGTGTGTATAAAAGAGCTGGTGAGGATGCGGAAAAATTTGGTTGATTGTTTGAGGAGGTTGTGGAGAAGAAAAGTGACTGAAGTATGTGGGATTCGCCACCACGCCGTTGCTCCGTGTGGGTTGTTTGGGAGGGAGGGAGGGAGGAGAACTTTAATGTTGTATTCCTTCACTGTGATTAATAGGACGTGTATATACCAATATTTATACTATTTTCTGCATATTTTTTGGATGGACTTTCTTTTAGTGTTTTGCTAGGCCAGAATCTGATTGTAATTCGGATATTTGGTAAATGATTCTTACATGGTTCGTCTGTGTGATCTGTCTTCGACAAATGGTCCAACTGGTTTCAAGAATTCTTTTGTTGTATCTAAATTGTAGAGTATGGTATTTTGGCCTCTGAAAAATTCTATTTGGTGAAGGTATTTGAAGATGAAAACGAAGCTGCAAGATACTGTGATTTGCTGCAAGGAGGAGGTCAAGATTGTGAAGGTGTTGCGGAGATAGAAGCCTCATCGGTAAGAATTGAGCATGCATGGCTAAGCATAAAAGTTACTCGTAAGTTTTAAAATTTCTTTTATTAATCAAAATTGGAAATAACATTGAGGTAAGATTTACTTCAAATAAGTAACTTTTTCACTTCATAGTAAGAAAAAAGTAACTTATGCCACAGGTTTTTGATATCTGCCGAAAGAATAGGGCACTTGCAGTTCTGTTCCGTCGAGGAAGAACACCACCTCTACCTGAAAGCCTTAAGCTTAACTTGCGGGCGCGCAAGCGTTCCCTTGAAGACCAAGAGGATTTGAAGTGAAAGCTTGGTTTGATTGAAATACAGGTGACTTTTCACAAGTTGATATGGTGATGCAATATCTTGTGCAGTAAATATACTTCTTGCTAAATTGAAATGTAAATTATTTACTGTGTACGGTGGAACTTGCCTTGGAGCTCTGGTGTCATAATTGTTCTGTCGTGCTTGCTATTTTCATGAGGCCGAGCCTTAGCTTCTCGATTAACAGTATGTGAGGCTAAGCTTAAAAATAGTTGACATTTCTTGGACAAAAGTAAAGACCTGCTGTCAAGAAAAAGTAAGATTTTGTACTGGAAATTCGAAAATAACTTTAAAAAGTTTGGTCGACATGACTTAAAACCCAGCATATATCAGATTAATACATGCCGACTCGTGATTTTCTATTAACATTAAAGAAAAAGCCAAAATCCCTTCTTGCACTCCAACCATCAAAAAGGGGCAGTGAGTTAGCTCCTACAGAGTACAAAGAACTCGCAAGGGCAAATGGGAAGTGGAAACAAGTCCTCTTGAATCGAATTTTAGATTGTTCACTTCAATACGCAAGTTTAAAATTAGTCATTTATAGCAATATTAAGAGTTTGAAGGAATTGAATTTAAATAACATTTGAGTAACAAAGTTGCTCTAAATTTTGTTTCATTCCTGTAGGGATTTACCCAATATTTTTAGACCAAATATGACCGTTGTTTGCCTTTTTATTGCTGCCAGGTATTTAAGCCATCATTAGAAACTATTACCTAAAAAATGATAGAAGTCTATAATACCCTTTTTATTACTTTGAATTAGTTGTACACATTTCTTCGGAACATCATATTTGACTATTTTTAAAGGGTATATTTGAAAATTGTGATAAGCGCAAACAAAGCCAACAACTACAATGGGCGCCACTTCTGAGTTGCCCAAAGGTTATAAAATGGCTTCAAATCTTGGGAAAATCCCTTCCATACAGTTCTGATCTGTACAGCTCTCTAGAACCAACCTTCATACTCCGTTTAAAATTGCTTAAGAGTGTGTGCATCTGTTTACAAGAACAAAAAATTAGAAGTGCTTATAAATATTTCAAAAATAAAGTTACAGATAATCTAGCAACTGAATTAAAGAAAAAAGTGGTCACAGTCTACACGTGCATATGGAGAGCCAAACCCGACACAACCCACCTATCCCGATGGAACTATCTATCGCAGGACATGTTCTGATTAGGCAGTAACATCGAATAAAGAATGTAGCTTTTCTCTTTCAACAATGTCGTTGAATGCAAAATTGAACATACAACAGCCAGAAGAAAAACAAAGAGATAACTCAGAACAATATTAGATGAGTTTCTTCTTTTCAAAGAAAGACTTCAAGTGCCATAGCTGCAATCCTGCCACAGTTAAGCATACAAATATTGACAGAACACTCAACCAAGCCATTTTGGAGTTGGTAGATATGTTAAGTTCCTGCATTTCTTCTTCCCTGGAACAAACATCAGTCGTATGTGAAAAATTGGAAGTTACAAAAGTTATATTTTTTACGAAAAACTTTTAAGTTTTTGCTCACCTTTCACGTAGATAAAACATCTCATCATGAATGGATTGAACAACATCGAACATTTTCTTCAGTTCTAATTCCATTAACTGGTGACATGAGAAAACAAAGATTAAATGAACAGAAAAGAAGTTCAGTTCATCATTCTCAAAAGCCTCAATTGACAAGGAAAGATATACAAGGACACGGAAGAGGTAAAGAAGAATACGACAGTTCAAATCTAAGGCCCAGTCTCAAACCACTAACCTTGCCAACATTGTTAAGCATTAACTAATTGACCCAAATTTGCATAAAGCCATAAACCCATTTTCTTAAGTGGGACCTACTCAAGTCCATATAAACTGGTCATGCCATCCTCCCATAACTGTTGTGAGATAAGGCGTCTCAATTTCCCCCTCTCAATAAGTGATTACCCATATATAGTCTACAACACACTCCAGAAAGTCTGTGCTGGTCAAAGTGGACGGTACTGTCAACACAACCCGATCAGACCCTTCCAGCCAACATAGTGAGGGTACTAACCAATCAAGACAAAATGCTTAAATCCATATTGACAAGTAAAAATTACCTGAGTCCTAGCTTACAACCATTCTCATAAGTCACAACTAAGAGGTACCGAAGTCCTTATAAACTGGTACTATCTTCCCAAAACCAATGTGAGATGGAGAGTTAGCTTGAACAATTAGATATAAAGATACTAAAATGATTTTTAAAATATTTAATATTCGTAGTCAGAGGAATCCTTGATGTAGATGTTTCTAGACAAAGCAAAAGCAGATCTATGTAAAAGCTATAAATTGCTCAGGCTCATAATGATTATTTTGTAGATAACAATTATTTATCAGGAAGTAGAATTGCACAACAATTTCATGTCAAATTCCAAAAAAGAATTTCCAGAACCACACACCAAATTTAGTCCTAGAAGTACTGAGAAACCAAAACTTCAAAACTGCCTTCAAAACTTCAAAAGTGTCACAAACCAAAGAAACGGCTAGGGTATTTAAGAGCTCAAAAATATAGAAAACTTACAAGTACATAGTAAGCACACAAGTAAGCAACTCTAGATGAGGTCAATGAGCCCAATAGAGATCATTTGTGTGCATTAAGGACAGTCATTAACATTGTAAAGAAGCACCTTATCTAGCTCAATAACCTATTTTGCAATCCAATCCCCTATTCCCGAATCAAGCGGCCAAGTAAATACTTTTAGAACCCAAACAATTTCTATAAATCGAAGTAACTAGAGCCATTAATATGCAACGATAGAATAAATATCATTCCCAGGCAAATGAAATGTATATTCTGAAACAATAAATTCAGTATTTAAGTCTTGAAAATGCCTATCAAATAAAAATGTGCACACTCAACTTTCTTTGACGATAACGTGTATGAAATCTTAGAACAACCCCATTAACGAAATTCAAAACACAAGCGACAAACAAAAATCATACAACTTGCAAAATCGATATACAAATGCACAAGTTCAATGCAAAGAGAACAAAGAAGATTCAGTCCTTACTTCAACTGAACCTTTCTTGGCAATATTCGTCCAATCTCTGGCAGCCACTCCAGATTTCCAATCAAAGTCGATGGTCATAGTAGTAGAAGGCTTGTGATCAGCTGAGAAAAAGCAAGTCATGTAATCACCTCCTTCAACCGCTTGAAACGCAAACTGCCCCTCGACAACATGGTCCGAGTAGTGATAGCTATTCCCATGAGGTGATGTCACCTGTAAGGTACAAAACAATTTAAAAGGAACCTTTTACTCCATCCAGGAGAGCAAACATCCAAATATATATATATATTTTTTAAAACATAGCAAGATCCAGAGAAGTCTTCATATCGACCTTGATAATAAAGAAAACTCGAAATATCACTGACAATAAATGATAGAAAAGGGTCTAATGTCATGTAAAAAACAAAAACAAAAACAAAAACAAAATTAAATTTTTTAACCAAAATCCATTTTAATTCCTAAAACAAATAATAGAAATAAGTAGAATTTTTGCATTGATAAGAAAAAAAAAATGTTTATCCATAATTTAGTTAACCCGCCAAGTAAATCAACCCAGAATTCAAAGATATATTACAATCAAGAGAAAATGAAAAGGAGAAAAAATAAATAAAAAATCAAACTTTAGCCAAACCTCATTTCATAGAGATAAATTATAAATTAGCAAAAACCTAATTATCAAATTGAACTGGATTAAAACAGACAATTATATTAATGAAAAAAAGGGAAAAGGGATTAGATTATATTTACCCGAACAGTTATTTTATGAGAGTCCGGTAAAGGGTGGCCTTCGTTGGGATTAACAACGTGGTACTTCCCGACAGTCATGGAATTGCTCTTTATCTCTTCCGTTATGCATTTGGTGTGACCCAACTCCAGATCGAATTGGATCGATTCGACCCGATTCCATAGCAACAACCCTGATATTAAACCAATAAAAAGAATTTGTAATTTCATATTCGTACTATTAATCAAAGGGATCTAGTTTTTCTTTTCTTATATTGCTAGAGATTTGGGGATTATTATAGCTAAGATTTTTAGTTTTTTTTCTTTATATGAAATAATTTGGAATACTGTAATTGATGGGACGAACGAACTGCAGGAAAAAAAGGAGCGTTGAATAAAGATTCCGGTCCAATCCGGGCCAGGCCGGGCCGGCTGCTGGATTTCTGACTCGTGGACTTTCTTGTCCAAAATTACAATCTACGACCACAACATTTTGTGTAATTATTTTTGAGTAATGCTATTCATCCACACTGGGGTTAGTGGGTTACAAACACAGTTTATGTGGTTTTAAATATGTTAAATGAAAAGTGAAATTAAACGACTTATTTAATTTGACCTATCATTTAATGACACATTAACGCTATCTAAACTGTTTTTGTAACTTGGAATTTCTTTTCCATTTCCCACCAAATGTGTTGTTTGATGTGCCAAAAATTGCTTGGAAATTGTTTTCTCTCCCCAAGGCTCACGCGCTTATTTTCATGGTTTTTGGGGAAAATCAATTCCCACCAATTGATTTTTTCCAGTTGACTGCACATATTTTTATTTTTTGTTCTTTTTTTTTATTATTATTTTTTAGCAATGAAAACAAATTTCATAACCAATTGTAAAAAAAAAATTCATTTTAATGAACAATTTCCATGTAAAACGAA